TTAGAACATAGATAGGAAAATTGAACTCTGGACTTCCTTTCCCTCTCTAGAATTAACCAAAAGATGGACATGAAAAATCCATGAGCTCCTTGAGATACCCGTAAAATCCTTCAGGCTGGCAGAGCTGAGTTTTCTATTTTACAGAAGGTGGTTCCAGCACATAACCCCTCAGATCTTACACAATCTCCTAAAAGCAAGAGGAACATAAGCAGGTACAACTGACTTCTTCACTATCATCCTTCAACAACCTGAGAACACAGCTCCTACAGACTGCGCTCCATGAGTTTCAATTGCTCCTGTCCCTGGATTGTTCCACCTCTAAACCCAATCTGCGATTTTGTAGCTACTTTAGGTGAAGTACAATGAGTAAATGCATCATTTCCCTTGTTGGCACTGTACCTTTTAGTAAAGACATTATATTTCATTTTCATTGGTCTCCTTTTTTTCTTTCATCTATTGTTTTATTCCCATTAAATATATGTTAGAATATTTTCTCTTCTCCCCAACTTTTTTGTCTTTTTTCCTTTTTGTACTTCAGTCAAATACTTTGAGCTCTCTTACTCACTGCACTTACCACTATTCATCTCACAGACTTCACCATTCTCCCTCATGCACAAATCCTGCCCACTAACCATGGCTTCTGTTCCTTCCTAACCATAAATGAATGTTTCCACAAACATGCTCTGGCTGTCAAAGGCACACAGTCCACTTACAGATAAACCACAAGCATTGTGCTCCCAGCCTCATCACAAATGCATTGCCTCAGCTAGATGCACACAAAGGAAGGAATTATTTTCTTCTAGGAAATATGGGGGGGAAAAAAGCAAACTAGAAGGGATTTTTTCCTCTGCTGGGGGAAGTGTCATTGGGCAGGGTCCCCAGGTTGAACTCAATTTTGGCAAGTCTGCTTTAGACAGGCTGTAGCCAGCTTAGTGCCAGGAAGCTGTTCAGTGATGGGCAGTATTGTAGTCAAGGAGTCTGAAAAAAGAGAAATTTTGTATGGAAAAGAGGAGGAAACACAGTGGTATTGAGTAGTAGTTTTCCTGATGCCTGGGCAGAGAGAGGGGAAAAGAGAGAGTATTAGAACCTAATGAAATGAGATAGAATATTCTTCTGTAGATGGAGAGTTGGCTTTTTTCCCCTTGCCCTTGTTTTTTATTTATTTTCCTGGCATCCCATAGATTCTGCAACCCTTAGCATTGAAATAGTCTGTGTATGGCAATAATCCACCCGGCACCACATTGAGATATGATTCACACGTAACCCATCTTTTCCAAAAGGGACAAAGATGAGACCCTATAGAGCCCCTCTGTTATGGTTTCAGTGGGTTCACAGTGAAGGGAGAGCGTGACAAAAGGGAATAATCAATCCATCTGTGCAATCACTGCACTGGTCCATAACCAGAGGCTCCTGCCCACATGTGTAACAGGGGCCAAGGCCTCTGTCACTTCAAAAGGGAGGCCACGAAGAATGAAAGCAGCCTAGCCTGGGGTCAGGGACCCAGAGGGTTGGGGGCTGGATCAGATTTCACAAGATAGGGGCCAAGATCCCAAGACACGCAGGTGCAAGACAGGGCTGGGGCCCAGAAGCCAAGGTCCTGGACAGTGGATCTGGGCTGAGTGGTGAAGCCCGAATAAAATGACCAAGGCTGGGAAGGCTGAGGCCCAGACAAAGGTTTGCGGACTGGAGGTTAAAAATTTTACTAGGGACAAGAGGCCCCCTCCAAACAAACAGTAAGTAACATTTGTGAGGCATGAGCATGGCTACAGGGGAAGATGGAGACCACAAACGTAGCCTATAAGGCTACTGGTGCTGTGATAGGGCCAGAGGGCCATAACTTAATGCCCTGGGGCAGGACTGGGACTAGCCAGGTACAAGAGATGCCAGCCACCAGAGGGATCAAAATAGCTCCATCAAGGTGTGGCAGGAAAGGAAAAGAAAAATACCCCAAGGAGCCAGAGTGGAGGCAGGAGCCATGTGGCTACCAGGGGTGTCATGGCCACCCCCGGGGATGGTCCTGTACAGTGTGGAAGTGGAAAGGTATGCAAACATGGGGGCTTATGTAATTAAATTCAGATTTGATTCACACAGAAAATCCTCTTCTGTCAACACAGTGCAGTACAAATAATAATCAGATGTGCCTTCAGTTTACCAACCTCTGGCTTCTCGTCAAAGCCATTTCATTTAAACAGAAGACAGTGAAGAGAGAGAGAGAGAGAGAAACAAGAACACAGTTCTGCTAAGGCTGCACATTTGAGAAACTTCCACATATTTAAGTTTGTTCACTATTTATCTAGCCCTGCCTTTTTCATTTGTTCCTGCCTTCCCAAATGCTTTCATATTTCATTTGAGAGGTCATTTCTCTTCATGTTTCAGGGTGATCCACTTCCCAGATTAATCTTCATACTGTGGGGCTCTTGTGTGAAAGGTCACAGGCAGAGTTGCTTGTTTGTTTTATTAATCATTCTGTTTTAAAAGACAGGAAATAGAAGGAGACAAACTTGATGGGTTAGTGAGGATGACATGACAAAGAATTTAATAAACTCTGCAGCATTTGAAATGGAAGAAGCTAAGACAGTGCTGAGAAACAATATAAATAATGCTCATGCAGAAAAATGAAATTAGGCTTACATCTACAGATGTCATAGACAAGCTGAAAAAAATACTGAAAACTAGATATAGTGCAGTCAGTGGTGCTTTCTATGGCTGTGCACTCCAAACATGTATTGAGGGAGTGTAACAGGGCTGTTAGTTTTCCTGCAACTCCTCACTCAGAAAACAAGTGTTAAGTTTATTGCAAAAGTGTAAAGTGGGTTTTCTGACTTGTTGGTTGAGCACACCACACAGACAGGAGTAACTGGGAGTTAACATTCATGCACTAATATTTAGTGTATTAATATTTAGGAAATACAAGTCTTAATGAAAGGGGCCTTTGGAAGAGCCATGCATGAGGTGAAAGTGTCATCTAGGGCAGTGCTGTCTAACTTCTCAGCAGCCTAGGGCCAAATGTCATGGGGACCAAATCTGTGTGTGTCACAGGCTTCCCGGGATGCATGGGCTCCCTCACTGCATGCTCCTATGCTGTCTCCTCCACCTTCCTATCTGCTGCACAAGCCACCTGGAGCTCTTACTGCCATGCAGACTTCCTGCTTTGTGGGGCCACCTGGGTCCCAGAGCCCTGTGCCCCCTGGGACTTGCAGTCCTGTCCCCAGTGGCAGAGAGGAAGTGTGAATCAGAGGAGGAAGGGAAAGATGGAAGGCTCCAGGAACAACAGCAGCTGGAGCAGTGGAGGGAACGGTGCCCAGGAGGAAGTCTGGATGCCACAGTTTGTCCCCTTGTGGGCTGCATATGGCTAGTGAACCACCCATTTCACAGCCCTGAACTAGGATAACATGGTGACACTGGAAGCAGCTACCATTGCCAGGAAGTGGAGTCTGGTTGCCAGGCTGCCCCGTGCCTGCTGCACGCCTGGGGATGGCAGGACTAGCCACATGCGCTATGGCCCAGACTGACTCCTGCATCTGGGCTGGGCAGGACCCAGGGACATACTGGGAGCCAGATAAAATCCCTTGGTGGGCTGCATCTGGCTTGCAGGCCATATTTTGCCCATCCCATCATAGAGGAAGTCATATGTGTGGAGGACACAAGTGGTCCAGTTGTAAAAGCTCTTAGGTTCTTGCCATTTGGTGTATAGGTCCTGACTTTAGTATAAAAGGAGGGCCCTAGGTGTCCTTATATCTTGGTGATCTCTAACTATTAGACCAGGTCTTGAGTCAGCTAGCATCACAAGAAGCAGCTCACAGGGGCTAGTGTAGATTTGGCCCAGGACTGGGAACAGCATGGAGGTACTTTGAAGAAATTTCATGTGGCACAGCTGAGAATCTGACCCAAGACAGCAGCTACTGCTTACTTTCATAGATCCAGGTCCTCTATTAAATGGGCATTTATAAACATTAATTTTAATTCTTTAAAAAAAAATTAAACTATATGCTAGTTTTTGAAAAAAAATCACTGGAATTTTCCTTCATTAATGCAATATAGGCATTGCCAGTGCACAGTTTATCTGTACACATTTCATTACCAGAAAGAGGACAACTGGAAGAAGGTCAAAACAAGATATAGCCATGTGGTAAAGGGGCTGAATGGATTTACATCCAAGCAAAGCATAAACAGAGTAAAATTTGTTAATCTTGACTAAATACTGATCCAGGAGGCCATGATAATCATCTATAAATACTTGAAAGGTGCAAACATCAAGGAGGAAAGGTGGATGACTGGGAATAACGGTATGTCCTTCAATAAAGGGACATTTACGCTGAAAAGCAAGACAAGTTTTTTCATGCAGAGCACAAGTAATATATGAAATAACAATCTGAAAGAAGTAGGGAGATCCCATACTTGATACTTATGCTAGACAAATTACTATAGGGAACAATTCTGTGCTAGCATACTAGATGATTTAATAAGGTCTTTCTAGCTCTGATTTCTACTATTCCATTACATTATGCCTGCAGCACTGTAATAACAGATATCAGATGGATGCATTGGCACAAAATATCAGTGGGATGGAACTATCCAATGACTTTTCTTATGCTGTTGCTTTACACATGAAGGAACAACTAATTTTAAGATCAGTTATTTCAAAATAATTTATCTGTATGCATGTTTTTACCTCCTAGGTTGTGATGTGTTCCAGGTACGGTACTACTTGGGCTTGAAATCCCCATTGGTCTAATATTCAGCAACCATAATATATTTGTTTCAAATATGCCCACTCAGAAAAAGCAAAACAAAACACAATCTTTAAAGAGCGAGTTCCATTAGATTTTTTTTGGTCACTGCAGAACTGCTTTTTCTTTTCTTTTTTTTTTCTTTAAATAAAAAAGACACTGCTGCTGCTACCAAAAATACTATAGCTTCCAAAATGATTTTTTATCATATATGATTACTTTCCAACTGGTAAAAAAATTAAAGAGAATGAAGCAGAAAATGAAAGTTACCTTTTTTATGGTATCCAACATGGATCGCCCGCCTTGCCAGGGTTTGGAATTCTTTCTGATACAGGTCAGGCTGGCCATGCTATGCCACTTCCGGTCCTCTAACTTCTTATGAAAAGCATTAGCCAGCAACAGCACAGTGTCATATATGTAGAGGTTTGAAATCTGTAAAGAGAGTTGAAACTCATTTTTAGATACAAGAAGATCCACACTTCAGAATTCATAACTGATTTGCTTCTCCTGCCTCTCAATAATCACTTGGTTTACTTGGATTTTACATTGTCAGGACACCATTAGCTTTACAACACATATCTGTTTTAAAAAATTCCCTATTCTTAACAGTTACAACTGGATCTCTACTGCTGACTTCCAAACCTGGGTATCAGAAAACCCATTCACCTGTACAAATTCAATTGCAGGATCAGTATGAGTTTCCCTCTTACTTCTAAATGCTTTCACTTTTTGGGTCTTAAGCACTAGTGAATACTGTCATGTCTGGGTGAAATGTTTATTTTCTGTAAATAACTGAAGTTGTAAAATGTGAGAACAATGTTCTTGGTTTAAAATTTGTTGCACAAATGTCCTTGTTCAATGTTGTCACATTACACGGCATGGGGACTTAACTGCATAAGGATCAAACACTCTTTACACACCCAGACACACTCTCTTACATCCGTAAGTTTACACACCCTATACAGGGAAGCATGCCGAAATTCAGAAGAAAAAGTAATCTACCTTCCCCTTTGCAGTTACCTTGGTTACATTTTTATATATTTACTTTTAAAATTTACTGTAGGTTCAGCCAGATGTGAATGCTAATATATAACTAAGCATGAAGGAATAAAGGAACATAATTCATAAACTCTCCTGAAACAAATCATTTAAAAATGGCCTTATTTCAGTCCTTTATCTCCTGAAATGGCAGGGGCAGATAACCTGCTAAAAATATCACAGAGAGAAATCATCAGATCTGCCTGAGCATATGGTACCCAGCAAGCAATATGAAGCTAGAAGACATGTCCAGAGCATTTGAGAATATACAGCTACTCCTCATTTAACGTCGTAGTTACGTTCTTGAAAAATGTTACTTTAAGTGAAACGATGTTAAGCGAATCCAATTACATCACAATAGTTTCTTACTAGCAGGCGGTGGCCAAACAACATTATAAACAAACATTGCATGACTTCAGATGAGTATGTTCTCTTATAGATCAGCGACATAATAATGAACAATGTTAACTGGGACAATGTTAAGTGAGGAGTACCTACAGGTAGGTAGGTAGGTAGGTAGGTAAATAATCTGCCTATCAATTCTGTAAAGCTCTAAAGCCAGCAGCTGTCTAGGGAAACAAAATTTCCCTAGTCATATCATAAGGGATTCTAAAATGCTTTTAGCTTCTGAAAAGTAATTAGTAATCAGCAATGAGCTAATTGAGGGATATCCAATCTCTAAGCAACTGGGGGATACGCGCTGCATGAGCCACATTAGCAAGGCCTGGACTACACCCTACATGCCCCACCCTGCTGTACCACAGGTTCCCCTGCAGCACCATGTACTCCTCTCTCCTCCCCCCCCCCAGGCAGCCAGCCCACCTTAGTTCTTCCAATCATGGAGTCCCTCACCACATCATGCCTCTAAGGTGCCCTGAGTCGCAGGATCCCCCAGCACCATGGGCTGTACCATGCTGCATCATCCCTTCCCTGGGACAGGTAGGGAAGTCAGAGGGAGAGGAAGCCTGGAAAATCCAGTTGTTTATGGAGCTGGAACAATATGCGGAGCAGTAGCCCCCATAGCCCAGGAGCCGCATGAGGCCTGTGGGTCACCAGTTGGACAGACCTGTGCTAATTCATGCAGGCCTTTGTTTTTGCTGCTACAAAGACCAATCTACTAGCCACCCCCAAAATGCCTTTACTTGATTTGAAGAGATGTTAGCTAGCCTGTGTTGTGGTTTCTACCCAAGAATTAAAAATGAGGAGAGTCAACATTCAGAGCTTGGGGTAGGGAATGATGGGACAGGGACCTAAAGCTGTGAAACAGAGAAAGAATGGGGAAGGATGTTAATTACTTTGTTTTTAGAAAAAAACTTAAGGTTAGGAAGGTCTTGGAGATAATGAGGCGATAATTCAGTTATGGAGGAACAGGGGATTTCTAAAGAGTTTGATATGCTGGTCTAGATGTTCCATGGCCCAAAAAACACCTGAAAATAATGACCATTTATGCCCATTTTATTTATCTATTACATTTAATAAATGTATTGCGTTATATAGGCTCCAGTTTCCTTCATTCTGTATTGGATCTGACTCTCTTCCACAATATGATATCTCCTTATACTTCACTGGAAGGTTTTTACTTTGGACTTCCACAGAATGCTGGAAAGGTTTCCTCTACAAAACTCCACAATGAGCTTTAGGCTACTTTTCTTCCCTTCACTAGACTTCTCCATTCCTTCTGAATCACTCTGCAATCATCTCTATTTACTCACAGAACACATTACCCTCCCATATCAATTGTTTTCAGGCCAGGAACAGACATTACACATAAACCAGTATAAGTGATGATAAACCAGTCTAAACCTGTAACAGAACAGAAGTTCAGGGTACACAGACTGGTTTAAAAATGGTGGAATTCAGTGTGTACTCTGAATGACTTGCATTATCTTCCAATCTGAAGGGCTGAATATCCTTTAACTAAAAGAAAAATCCACTTAGAAATTCATCCCACAAAGATTTTTTTCTTGGTAAAAGTAGAATAATGGGAGATAATTTCACTCCTGTAGTAATAGTAAATTTTGCAGAAACTTTGACTGAAAAGGAATAATCTCTAGAGGACAAAGACAATAAGGCCACTAATGAGACTAAATTAGTACATAAAGAACTACAGATACCAAGTCATCATTTCACAACAAAATGCCATTGTTTTCAAGGTAGCTTTCATAACTTAATACCATGGGAATAGAAAACCTTTGTCACAGTTCATGCAGAGGAATACACTTATTAATTTAGGAACAATTTAGCTGGGCCTATATCAAGTATTAATAGGACTCTAGTGTATAGAGTTCAGGAGCCATTAAGCAGTTTTTAGATCCTTTACCTATAGTTCAACTCAGCATTTATAGGATAATCTGTCACTGGTAACAAAATATTAGACTTAATTTTTGCTTCTGCATATCTGCCCTTCTCCTACCCAAGACATTTGGTACATTAATTATTTCCCTGTTATGCACCACAGGATGACCATTTAACCATTTAAAGTCTGCACACACACACACACACACACACACGAGTGTTTATACACACACCTACCCTCCCAAGTAACAAAAGCAGGATGCATAATGCACTATATTCTCAGTTGTTAAAATTCTGTTTCTTCCAGATGTCCTAAAATTCAGCAGTGTTTTGCAGATATTTCTTGCCATTAAAATGAACCAGCAGCTTAGGTAATTTCTAGCCCGACAGACTGTGGAATCAAGATCAAAACTACAAACACTGTATGTCTGATTACCAGATAAAACTTAAGGGGAAAAAAGAGGCCAGTCTTGTTTTGTTCATAAAGTATAATTCTTTGAATATCAATGCATCAGTCAGCTGAATTAGAAGAAAAATGTTTTCAGCTACTTTTATCATAATTATTGTTGACTTGCACACCAATACTTTAATTGTGTGCACTACATTCAACTCAGATGACATGCTGATTCTAAATCATAGAGAACTGACACCAAGCTTTTACCACGATCACAACAGTTGTTCAGTCTTGTAGAAGACAGCCAATGTGGTTTTTAATATCTTGTAACAAAAAATAGCATTTCACTTAGTTTACAAAAACTCTTCCCTGACTTAATTTCTCATTTTCATCCAATATTCTTAACTTTTGTTCCTTACATTCTGTGGTTACACAACATTATTGAAATGATATTTTAATAGCTCTGCACACATTCTTAATTCTCATGTTCTTTTTCATTCATATGTTCTTCCACCCCCTCTTCCCAATAGGGTGCCATGATTTCTTACATAGTATGGTATGAAGTGCTGTCAGTCTCTCCTGTTGGCAATCTTCCAGTATATATAAAATACTTAAATAGTCTCTTTCTGAGACAGAAAGAGAAAGAAATGAAAGACTCTGGAAGGTAGGCAGTTAGGATACTCTCCCTGAAGATGGGAATACCACAAACTGCAAGTTTGGGACCAAGTGCTGCCAGTGCTCCTGCCCTCCCTGCAGGGGATCTCTCTAGTGAGGCACACCAGGGCTGGCTCCACCCCCTATGGTGGCACTGCACCCTGAGTGTGTCCTTGGTGCAAATGTCCCAGAGGTAATGCAAGAGCTGTTTGCATGGGCTGAAGAGTGCCTGGCTTATTACACCCTGCTGCTGATGGCCATAGTTCCCTGGGCACACCTGCACACCTAGCATGTGACCTGAGATCTGACAGTGTAGTGGGTAAACCTGGAGGACTACCTGTAGCTGCACTATGTGACCTTGCCCCCTGCAGCTGAGAGGGATATCACAACTGGCATTTATGCATTCCATGGCATGTGAGAGTCTCCATGACATGTGAGAGTCCTATGTCCACCTAGCTGAGGGGGTACAGGCTGCTTATTTAAGTTTTGCACTGTTTTCCACCTCCCAATGTGCTATGGGGGGGGGAGGGACCAGGGGTCCAGGGGAGTGTGACCAGGCTGAGCGGGGAGAGGGACCAGGGCAGGGGCTGGTAGAGGGGTAGGGGCACTGAGGGCCCACCCCACAGTGCAGGACTTACTAGGTGGGCAGGGCTGGTGTGCCTGGTGGCTGGGGTTGGTCCCCACTGATGCAAGGCCATGTGGCCCCCAGCAGTGTCCTGGGTCACAGTGTCCTGGGTCACAGGGGCATGCCTGCCTGGACAGGGGGCCCCTCTGGGTTGGAGCTGAAGCTGTTGGTGGCCAGTGGTGCCATGGCTGGCCTGGCATAGTGGGCAGAGTTGAGGACATGGAGCTGGTGGGGCAAGCACTGGCCCAGGCTCCCAGAACTGCTGGATGATGCCCAGGGTGTGAAGCTCAGCAGGACAGGCTACTGGTGGCTCAAGGAGCCCTCCCTTGGTGATGTATCACCGTGGATGGCAGGCCATAGTGGAGGTTCAGCAGGCCTCCTGTGCTCAAATACGGCCAGGATCCCAGGGTGTGAAAATGTTGTCCA